AGGTCCCTGCTGCCACCAACAATCCCCACTTGGCAGTTTTCCAGATTCCTTTCATGTGCCTGTCCATTGCAGCCATTAGCATCTCTTTTGTTCTTCCTGGCCACACCAAGCAGCCGGGCATGTTATTTATAGACTCCTCAAAGAACTATTAACAAAGAATTCCCACTCAGAGTCTACAAAATAAGAGCTGCTTAGAAAAAGCCTTAGCTTAATGTTTATTGGCTTTAGAGAGAACAGGATGTGATCGAAGGTATCATCTCTAAAATGTTGTCCGTACCATTTCTATTATTCTGTATCAGCAGTCAAGAACTAACGTTTTGCATTTGAACGGAAAGGGGCTTGTCAAATGATTATTGCATCTGATTCGCTTTTTATTGATGCTGTCAGGGAAGTATTTTAGCTCAAGCTTCATTTTCTCCTGGTAAATTCTATTAAAATAAAAACACTTGATACCATTAGGTAAAGTTAAAGGGACCCCTGACCATTAGGTCCAGTCGTGACCGACTCTGAGGTTGCGGTGCTCATGTCGCTTTATTGGCTGAGGGAGCCGGCGTACAGCTTCTGGGTCATGTGGCCAGCATGACTAAGCCGCTTCTGGCGAACAAGAGCAGCGCACGGAAACGCCGTTTACCTTCTCACCGGAGCGGTACCTATTTATCTACTTGCCCTTTGATGTGCTTTCAAACTGCTAGGTTGGCAGGAGCAGGGACCGAGCAACGGGAGCTCACTCCGCGTTGGGAATTCGAACTGCCAACCTTCTGATCGGCAAGTCCTAGGCTCTGTGGTTTAACCCACAGCGCCACCTGCGTCCCTCTTGGTACCATTAGAATTATAAAAATGCCTACAGCAGAGCTTGTTCCATTCACAGGATTTCGCCCCTTTCACAAACAGAGGAAGTACCTCTGTTTAGCCATTAGTGGACCTGAAAGAAATCTGGAAAATCGTCGTGCGAATGGTGCAAGCCTGTTATTTCACGTTGTAGGCCAGGAAGAGAAGAACTCAGGCGAAGGAACAAGTGAACTTATTCCACAGTTCACGTAACACGAAGTTTCGGATGAGTTCATTGACCCATTCCTTGGTTAGCAACCGTCAGTTCCTACCCCCCACTGAAACAACCGACATAGGTCTAATTTTAGCTTTCACTGTGGAATTAATATGTTGCAAGCTTTCTCCACTAAGTTCCTGGTCATATATTTCATAAGGAAGTTGGGTAGATAAGCCTGATTTATCAAACCTGCAAGGCAGTTAAGAGGAACATTTTTAAGGAGACTGTAGCTATACAGTTAGAGACTGACTGTTTAATGTGATGGATGCGCTGTCTCATGTCTTCCACCACCAACATGCCGCAGACCACCTGTATGAATCTTGCAGAGTACTGGCATCTTTCCTAGCCCTACAGGGAGATCCTGGGGATTGATCCTGGAAGCTTTCAAATGCATAGCAGATAGATGCTTTGTTATGGATGACGAGGGGGCCTTACAGGGAAGAGCTGGGAGCTGTGTTTGGACAAAAACATCGTTGTTTCATTACTATATGGCTCAGTCTGCTCAGATGCTGTTGATTGTATGCAGGACCTTTTGCATACAAAGCATGTCCTCACCCTCTGATCTATGTGTAAAAAGGTAAAGGGACCCCTGACCATAAGGTCCAGTCGTGACCGACTCTGGGGTTGCGGTGCTCATCTCGCTTTATTGGCCGAGGGAGCCGGCATACAGCTTCTGGGTCATGTGGCCAGAATGACTAAGTCGCTTCTGGCGAACCAGAGCAGTGCACGGGTGGCGCTGTGGGTTAAACCACAGAGCCTAGGACTTGCCGATCAGAAGGTCGGTGGTTCGAATCCCCGCGATGGGGTGAGCTCCCATTGCTCAGTCCCTGTTCCTGCCTACCTAGCAGTTCGAAAGCACGTCAAAGTGCAAGTAGATGAATAGGTACCACTCCAGCGGGAAGGTCAACAGTGTTTCCGTGCACTGCTCTGGTTCGCCAGAAGCGGCTTAGTCATGCTGGCCACATGACCCGGAAGCTGTACGCCGGCTCCTTTCTTAAATGCTCCCAACTGGAAGCAACCACTTGCATTACTTGCAATGTCCTTGCTCCATCCTTGGGTAAACCTGGACAAAGGTGGAATTAGAACACATTTCTGCAGTTTAACCTTCATGTTCTCATGTTTCCTCTCCCTCCCTCCTTTCGTCGCAGGCTGATGAATACTGAAAATGCACTTTTACAAGCCAGGGAAGAGGAAGGAATAAAATATGAACGCACTTTCATGGCATCTCAGCTGATTGACTGGTTGATCCAGGAAGGAGAGGCCACCACAAGGCCTGAAGCTGAACAACTTGGTCGCAGGCTGCTGGAGCACGGAATTATACAGCATGGTGAGAAATGTTCACTGCTTTAGCGAGCTCTGTCTAGATGCGAAGGATCTCAGAAGGTGGTTGCATGTTTGAACATGGACTGCTTAACCCTACATATTTTTAAGCGGTGAGCATATATATATTGTGAATGCTCCTCACTTTTGCAATCCCAGACAGGCAGCAAAACAGAAAGTTATATTAAGTAACTTAGTACTTAATACTTAGTAGTTAGTGGTCAGTTTGGTGGGTCACAATTTGTGTAGTTCTGGCATCATTAGATTGGTCATTTTGACCCATGTCCTATTGAGCAGCTTATATTTCTTTTTCTGAGAAGGGTATATCCTTCTTTCTTTTTTCAGCTGAACCCAAGAAGGGTTTGGTTGTGGTGGTTTCTCCTCCTTTTGGAAAACCTGTGATTCAGAGTTCAGCACAAGCTGCCAACTGTGAGAGCCCAAAGTTGGAAAAGTTAGTTGTGACCTGAGTCCAGTTTAAAACAACGGCATAGGACTTGGGCTGTGTACACATCGCCAGCTCAGAACACAGCAAGGTTTTCCTTTTTGTATATTTTGATTGAAGCTCGGCAAGCCCATCATAATGCAGTATTTCCTAAGGAGCGACAGGGCAGATACAGGGCAGATAGGGATTGTGGCTGATGTCAGGTGTGCACTGCTTTCCAAACCAGTGGTGGGAGTGCACTGAATGCAGAACAACCAGGAATGTGTATGCAGCCTTAGTGCTCATCCACACCCCGCATTTGCTGTGCATAGGAAGCAGGGGTCTGAGCAGTTTTCCCCTTGCCCTGCTCCTTTCCAAGGAAGAACCCACTCTTTAGTGATAGATCGGAACAAATGCCAATCCGGGGGGGAAACCCAAGTTGCTGTTTGGTCTGATTGAGCACTAAAAAGTGACTTTCTCCAGGGGAAAGCAGCAGGACAAAACAAACTGTGGATAAGCCCTTAGGCTTGACTATTTTTAAGTCCAGTTGATTTTAAAAGCTGCAAACTGTGAGAGTAGCAAAAGTTATTTACATCTTAAGTCCAATTCTGCCTGGTTGTTGCCAGCAGAAGGTAATTTTCAGGGGAGAGTTGGGTAGTGTAGGGCTTGGGCCACATCATCCATCATTTCATATTGTCCTGTATTTACTTGTAGCGATCTGCTCACTCCTTGTTGTCCCTTGGCAATGCCAACCCTCAAAGGGGTTGAATTACAACTGACTCTGAGGGTTTTTGCTTTGGTTTTTTAATCTTACTGCTCTTCAACTTGGGCTGGAAATAACGCAACGAATGACTTTTTGCCAGCTTACATCATAGTTGTGCAATTAATCTTGCTGCCAGAGAGTAATTTATAGGGTGCCAGCTGCTAAGGGCACAGCGCACAAGTAAAGTGTACTCCCTTGGCCTCTGAAGTGGCAAGAACATGCTATAGGCAAGGACTGGGAGATAAAAGGGAGAGGTAGAACAGGGTGAAGATAAGATAATGCAGGGGGGGGGGGGGGAGAGAAAGAGAGAAGCCACTGCAGGTTCTTAATCTGCCACATCACACAGATTGGATACTGGTTCCGCCATCAGCCTTGGCACCTTCAGTCCCCCCCTGCTTCAGGCAGGCTGTCCATCTTTTAAAAAATGAAAGTATCACAGCACCACTTTTACTTGCTTTCTCTGGACAGTAGATTCTCCTCATTCTAACTGGATTCTGAATAACTTCTTGCCACCTTTGTTAAGAACTTGCACCAGAGCTTTTTTTGGGGGGGGGGGTGGAGTATGTGACTGATGTTCAGTTAGGTTTCACTCAGACCTACTGAAATGAATGGACCTAGCTTAGTTGGGCTTACTGATTTTAATGGGCCTACCCTTGAGTAAAACATAGTTGAATATCACCCGGAGCCTTTACCCAGCAGTGAAACTGTCTCTTCCACTCAGAATGGTGCAGTCCCAGGGATCCACAAACCTGACCACCATGTTGAACCTCTCTCCCCCTGCTCTAAATTGCCTTGAAAGCACTTTATTGCACAGACAAACTCCAGCCCTTCCCCTCTTCCTGGAAGAAAGTGAGGGGATTGCACCTGGCCTTGTACCAGTAAAGGTAAAGGGACCCCTAACCATTAGGTCCAGTTGTGGCCAACTCTGGGGTTGCGGCGCTCATCTCGCTTTATTGGCCGAGGGAGGCGGCGTACAGCTTCCAGGTCATGTGGCCAGCATGACCAAGCTGCTTCTGGCGAACCAGAGCAGCGCACAGAAACGCCGTTTACCTTCCCGCTGGAGCAGTACCTATTTATCTACTTGCACTTGGATGTGCTTTCGAACTGCTAGGTTGGCAGGAGCAGGGACCGAGCAACGGGAGCTCACCCCATCGTGGGGATTCGAACCACCAACCTTTGCTCGGCAAGTCCCAGGCTCTGTGGTTTAACCCAGAGCGCCACCCGCATCCCAGTATTATAGTGGATTAGGAAGGGGAATTGAAACACAGTTGCAATACTCGCCCCGCTAGAGCAAGAGCGATAATATCAACTGCTGGCATGCCAGGGTGTTGGCAGACCCTCGTTGGTGTGGCAAGTGAATGAGGCTTTCAAGTTTTGCTATGGTTTGTGATGGAATGGATACACTAAGAGAGGCTGGGTGCTTCTTTCCTTTCACAGGGTTGCTATCTCATGCACAAGATAGCTCAGCTAGTAGAGCATGAGACTCTTAATCTCAGGGGGTTGTGGGCTGGAGCCCCACATTGGGCAAAAGATTTCTGCATTGCAGGGGGTTGGACTAGATGACCCTTGTGGCCATTTCCAGCTCTCCAATTCTATGATTCTAAGTCGTTGTTGTTGTTTAGTTGTGTCCATCTCTTCGTGACCCCATGGACCAGAGCACGCCAGGCGCTCCTGTCTTCCACTGCCTCCCGCAGTTTGGTCAAACTCATGCTGGTAGCTTCGAGAACACTGTCCAACCATCTCGTCCTCTGCCGTCCCCTTCTCCTTGTGCCCTCCATCTTTCCCAACATCAGGGTCTTTTCCAGGGAGTCTTCTCTTCTCATGAGGTGGCCAAAGCATTGGAGCCTCAGCTTCACGATCTGTCCTTCCAGGGAGCACTCAGGGCTGATTTCCTTCAGAATGGATAGGCTTGATCTTCTTGCAAACCATGGGACTCTCAAGAGGCTCCTCCAGCACCATAATTCAAAAGCATCGATTCTTCGGCGATCAGCCTTTATGGTCCAGCTCTCTCTTCCATAGATCACTACTGGGAAAACCATAGCTTTAACTATACCGACCTTTGTCAGCAAGGTGATGTCTCTGCTTTTTAAGATGATGTCTAGGTTTGTCATTGCTTTTCTTCCAAGAAGCAGGAGTCTTTTGATTTTGTGACTACTGCATTTGTCATTAAAAAGCTAAAGCAGGCTGAAGATCTTTTGTTAAAGTTCAAAGTGTGTTATGAGTTAAACCATCCTCTGCAGTCAGAAGAAAGCACCTCTGAGTTCAATGGAACTGCTGCCCAGCTAATTCTGAGCAGGACTGAGCCCGGAGTGTCTCTTCCAAAATCTGCCAGCCCTGTTTGTCCTGTCAACAAGCCGTATCTTTTCTTGCCAGATTCTCTGTATCAATTGAAGGCATACCTTTTCCATTGGTCCTTTGAGAGGTCAAGGATGTGTGAAGCCCAATTTAGTCTTCTGTCTGCTGCTGTGCTGTAATTGTTATGGCTGAAATTTCAATACATTATCGAAGGGTGTTGTTTTTTTTTAAAAAAAGATTTTAATAATTGCGCGATTGCATGTTGTGTTTTATTCGAATACTTTATCTGGATGACCTGGAATCCTATGGGATGAAGGTGATTAAAAATTAAAACAAGCAAACAAACAAAAAATGGAACAGGACTGCAACCCAGGTTTCCCCGATCAAATCAAAACATGCTAACGCACCACCTGAAAACAAGCAACTTCCTCCCACTGGCAACCATAATTTTTGGCCGGCTACCAAGGGCACTGATGGGCTAATCCGACAGTCTTCTGACCCAGTCATGCAAGATTTCCCCTGGGGAACTGAAACACGCTGGAATTGCAGCCAGGGGAAATGTATGCAACTCCCTTGTTCCTGTTTAATGTTAGAAATGGAGTGTTCTTATTGACTTTCCAAGAACTTAGGATGAAAAGGACTGGTGTAAAATCTGATTAAAGCCCAGAGAGGCTAAGCTCTTTATTTATAATACTTTGCCAGTAGGAGATTTGGTTTAGAGACTTAGTTTCTATAGATTTCATTGTGTTTCACCCGAGTTAGAAATGATATTGGTTACACTCAGCTGAGATGGAATGATTATGGATTTTAGCTGTAGCAAACAAAAATAACATCTGTTTTGACTGTTTTCTGCTGCTCCAGAGAAGTGGACACGGAGCAATGGATCCAAACTACAAGAAAGAAGATTCCACCTAAACATTAGGAAGAACTTCCTGACAGTAAGAGCTGTTCGACAGTGGAATTTGCTGCCAAGGAGTGTGGTGGAGTCTCCTTCTTTGGAGGTCTTTAAGCAGAGGCTTGACAACCATATGTCAGGAGTGCTCTGATGGTGTTTCTTGCTTGGCAGGGGGTTGGACTCGATGGCCCTTGTGGTCTCTTCCAACTCTATGATTCTATGATTCTATGACTGCATCTGTACTTATACTGAAACGAGCATAGCTAAAAAATTAGAAATCTTCCCTTCTCACCTCCCCCCCATCCTGTTTCCAAATTGCAAGCTAACTTTGAAATAACAACAGCTGCCTGCTTTTCACTCCGTTGTCTGTTTATTGCAATCTTTATAGAGTCTGCTCAGTTTGCAAGTAAATACCATGGATCCGCTGGCAAGTTTCCTCTGCTCTCCAAGGGCCGAGCCATTCTTTGTGACTTATATGTCAGCATTGTCAATGCAGTTTCAATTAACACTAATTGGCATTCTGCTGTAGCCTGGCAAGAGCTGAATGAGATATTTGGCTGACGATTGAGTGTGGGATAAAATACCTTTGTGCCTCATTGGTTGTCTTTATAAACTGCTGTCACAGTTTATAATAGAACTCGGCTACCCTTATTGCTGAATAAGCACAAAGAATAATGGCATGCAGTTTCCTTCTCTAGTTAATTTATTGTCATAGAAAAGGGCCTGACTGTCAACTTTAGTTCAAATCCAAGCATTGAGGCAAGAGCTTTCATATCTAAATGCCTGTCTGAATTATAATAAATGTTTTGTGTTTCTATAATGCTTTTGAGTGTGTATAGCATTTCATGTGCATTACTTTGTCATAACCTTTACAACAACCCTTGCAGTACTATTATCCCAGTTTTGCAGGTACAGTAGGTGAGACTGAGGGGACAGACATCTGTGGAGTTGATGGCAGAGACAAGGTTCCAACCAGAATGTTACACCAGCTCCCTCTCTAACCAGAACCTTCTGTTTCCTCTTGAACTTCTATCTGAAAATGCCACCCCTTTCTGGCAATGCTCTGTGCCTTAAGCTGGCCTTGGGCTTTCCCAATTTGGTAAACTTGAGATGCATGCATACCATGTACTGAATGACTGCATGCAGAGCTTGGCTGCAGGAAGAAAACGTGCAAGGCACCATCCAATGGTCTTAGGGACTCCACTCTGGACTTGTGTGGGCCTTTTCTTCTCCCAAAGGTCTCCTGCAAGGCAGCAGAGGTTTAGGACCAGAGTCTCCCTTCTCCTAGATGGGCTACCTTCCCAGGTTGATGAGCCCCATCTGCTCCTCACTTCCCTCTGCAGCCCATGCAGAAACTTCCTTCTTGATCATTGGACCCACTACTGGTCTTGTCCACTCAATGCGCTAGGGCCTGTCTTTGTATGCAGGGGAAGTCTAACTCCCATTGGCTGCCCTCACTTGGTGTAGCTTGGCCAGTCAAAGCCATTCCCGGGGTGTAGCCGCTGTCTCATGCTGACAACCCCACTATAAAGGTAAAGGGACCCCTGACCATTAGGTCCAGTCGTGACCGACTCTGGGGTTGCGGCGCTCATCTCACTTTTTTGGCCTAGGGAGCCGGCGCACAGCTTCCGGGTCATGTGGCCAGCATGACTAAGCCGCTTCTGGCAAACCAGAGCAGTGCTCGGAAACACCGTTTATCTTCCCGCCTATTTATCTACTTGCACTTTGATGCACTTTTGAGCTGCTAGGTTGGCAGGAGCAGGGACTGAGCAACGGGAGCTCACCCCGTCGCAGGGATTTGAACCACCGACCTTCTGATCAGCAAGTCCTAGGCTCTGTGGTTTAACCCACAGCTCCACCCACGTCCCTACTATACATCTGCATATAACCCCACCCTGGGATCTATATCTTGGTATGACATTAGACTGTTACGGAATGCAGCACAAGCATTTTAGAAATGTAGACTAGGTAAAGATCTGTCACCTTCACTGAGACTGGGTTGCAATGCCCCTTTCCCTAATATTTCAGCTACCTTCAGAAGGGAGAGGAATGGTACAGGTTGCGTTTCTCCCATGGTGGAATGGATGGCAAAAGTAAAAGCATCTGTAGACACAGTTGCAGTTGGGACAAACTGTTCCTTGCCTTTAGAGATCAAACTGTCCTCTGTCATAGAATTGGAAGGTCCCTCAAAAGTAATCTATTCTTACTGCCTGCCTCTACAGGAAGTTTGACAAACGCCAGCTCCCTCAGCCTGAAAGTGAGATGAGCGCCACAACCTCATAGCCTTTGACTGGACGTAACCATCCAGGGGTCCTTTACCTTTTCACCTTTAAAGCATAGATGATAGATGGCTGTTCACTCTTTGCTTAAAATAATCTAACAAAGCATAGTCCACCACCTTCCAAGGTGGTCCATTCCATTGCTTAACCACTCATATCTTCAGAAAGCTCTTCCTAATGTTTCGTCTAGATCCTTTTTCTTGTAATTTGAACCCATTGGTTTAAGTCCAACCCCCTGGAACAACCAAATGTCTCTTTTCTTGAGCCCAGTAAAACATGATGAAATATTAGGAGAGCGGGATATAATATTGGGAATTGGCTTGGATAGAAAGATAGATGAACACCAGTAACTGAACGTCTGGATTTTTAATGACAGGGTAGATGTTCTGAATTGATGCTACCATTAAAGCACATTTACAGATGCCAGATTAGCTCTGAAGACCAAAAAGCCTTTGGAAGGAATGGGGGAAAGCTCTCTGCAATATCATATGTTTTTGTCTTGCGGTATTTATTCTCCACTGGGAGGAAAATTGGAAGGGAAGCCCTTCTGGTATTGTACTTAGTTGGGCAGTGTGTGACACATCAGGGTTATGCAGAGATGAAAGGTGCACATTTAACATGAAAATCAGGTCATCAATCTCTAGGAAATATGGGCAGGGCAGAAAAACAGGATTTTGCAAATGCAGAAGAAATGAGTATTTTTTAAAATTGGTCACTATCCTAAAGCATTTATAGAAGATTCATGCACCAAATGTTCAAAAGATGAGGAGTTAAAGATTTGGAAATCTGTGGTGTTTTCCATAATGACAGTGATTTCTTCGAAATCTTTTTTATTCAGTTCTTGGAAGATTCTTGGAAGTGAATGTAGGAAAATAAAGTGGACTTTATTCAGATATTTTCTTTGTGAGCTGGGCCAAACTTGAAAATAATGTAGCTGGCAAAAGTGGATATTCAGTGCATGTGGTGGGTGGGGGGAATCAGACTTAGCAGACAGCTAGCCTTATGTTCTCTACCACTGAGTTTGGTTTTTACTTACAGTGCTGAAGCTCTGTTTCACT